TTCAAACCCTATAATAGCTGGGGGAGAATTTTTTCGGGAAAAATGGATATGCGTGTCTGGCTGATTGAGAGGAACGTAAATATTTCAAAGTGGATCGATAATATTAGTTTGATTATACACAATTAATTTCAAAATTTCTTGGAAACTCCATGAATGTCAGCAAAAAGTTATATGTTCAAATTAAGGAAATTTTGAAGACCTATTTTGTACTCATTTGTAATGAAACTGTCTTGCGTATAGTTCTAAAAAAAGTTAATGAAAAATATTATTTGTGAAGGCGAATAAAAAATATATTTATAATTTATAATGTTATATTCTTTAGTTTTTCTTAATAAATATTTTAAGTTGTTATTGCAGGCTGGTAATTTTTCCTTGCGTCGGCGGTTTCTTGGAAAAAAAACGAGACGTTCTAAGCGGCACGCACGATATTTCACGGTGGAAATTTCCTCACCTCTAATTGTTGGCGCCGCGCATTACACGCCGCCGTCACTCCTAAAAAACCAAACAAGCAATTCTTCATCCAGTAGGATAGAAAGAGAAGCGGCGAAATTCCTCTGGAAAACCAACACAAGAGAGGTGACCCTCGCCTTGCCGACGCATTTATCACGCCGTGCGGTCCAAGGGGGTGCAAGGGGGCGGCGGCGCCACGTGCAAATACTGCCTAAGGATTTTCTTCTACCTGCTGCCGAGACACTTGGTAACCGACCGGCCGCGGCAGACCTATTTTTCTCCGTGACAATCAGGAAAATAAAAGCGAGCGATGTTGTTTGTTGTAGGGGAGCTGAAAAGGCGCGCCACTGTCAGGTGGAATGGGGGTTGCTAATGCTCTGAACTTAACTGCCACATCATCTCTTCACAATTTACTTCAATTTCTGAGTTAAATTTCAATTGCATTTAAAAATTAGAAAATCTATTTGGCAAGTAAATTTTTTTTTTAAATTCTTAGTTTTTTTTTGTAATTTTTATTTTGCTGCATTGATTTGATACATTGGAATCGTTCCAGTCCGGGTCTGGAAGCCGAGTTTTGTGGCACTTTAGATCATCTCGTCGTTTTGACGCAAATTGCCGTTCGCCCCGGCGCTTTTGGCCGCGCCACTTGGATAATTAGGCCGCCTATATAACAGAGCGCGCCTAGCTAGTTGGTGATGAAAACAACCAGGCGACTTGTTCTTTATAGACGCGGCGCATCATAAACTACCCCGCGCGCATTTTTACACCCCTGGAGTTAGTTTTGTTTCCAGCAAAGCCAAAGCGAGTTGGGCGTGAATCAGGGGGAGAGGTTTATTAGTTAAAAGCTTCTGGATAACAAACAAAAGCCGACTAAGTAGTTTGAGACATTTTTATGACCACCAGATATTAATTTAGATAAATTTTAACTTCCCAGCAGGCTTTGGAATGAAACGTTTGGAAGCTTGTTTGCTCTGCTGGGAAAGTCATGACGACGTTTCTCCGACCGCGAAAGCGAAATTGTCCTCCAAGTTCTGATTTCAAGGCGCAGATCGTTTCTGGTCCCAAAATAAAACTTTTTTGGAAACTTTTGCAGAATTTTAACCATATCATATAGTATTTTTTCCAGCCTGGTAATCGGATTAGTTTTTGCTTTGAACTTTCCTGCATGAATTTCTCTTCTTTCCCCAAAGGACGCAGGTTCAAATTTTCCACGGTGGTCCCTGCGCGACTCTTTTTATCTTTCCTCCTTCTATTTGGTGTTGACTGTGCACAGCATCCTTGTGCACGAACACAGGAAAATTGATGCCAATCAATCGCTTCTCCAAATAATCCGACCGCCCGCCCGCGCGCGTAATCCTCTTTTTCTTTTCCTGCACAGGCATTTTCTTTGCTGGCGTGTCTCTCTGATGTTTTCCGCCGAAACGGAGCCGTGGAGTAAAGAGAGGCCACACCGCCGCCACCGCATCAAACGCACGAAAAACCACCGCACGCACCAGCTAAAGAGAGCCTTCCTCACAAAATAACATACAATTTTGCGCCCTTCCTATCTCATTAGACGTCATTCCGGGCCATTTGCACCGCGATTGATTCGCCGACCTGAAGAGATCGACCATTTCCTGCGTTTGCTTGAAGATATACATAAATGATCCAGAAATAAATGAAACGAAAGTTTGGCAGGCAATAGAAAAAGGGAAACACAATTTTGACACGGCAAATAAATTAACATGCGATTTCAATAACTAAATTATTTTAACGTAGCTTATAAAAAATGACATGCATTTTAATTAGTATTGCCATTTTATTTAAAAAGTTTACTTTTGTCAAACATAATTTGTAAAAAAAAATTGTAAAGCTTATCTTACATATGTAATTTATACTTATTTTAATTTCTTGTTTAAAAAATATGTGTAGATATTTTTATTTTTAATCTTTATAGTAATGGCTCCATATTAAATTTATTGATAAATTGATAACAAGTAAATAATATAATTATATATTTTTTTTAAATATTTTATTTATTTTCTATGTTACAAATGAATAACACTATTCCTCACAATCAAAGTAAGAGTGTGAATTGTAAAATATCATGCAGTCAGATCCAACTAACAAAAACGCAAAGTGTGCAAATTTCCTTTAAGAAAAAATAGAGCCGTCAAGAGCGCAGCAATTACCGCAAATTGCCAACGCGAATTACTATATAAATTTCATGACTGCAACAATACCTCTGGTGCGCGGTGTGTTATTGCATGTGCATCCGACTCAAATTATAATTTTTTTCCTTTCCTCAGTGCTGAGCAAACATGCGGTGTCTGAAAAAGAGAGGAACTACGTTGTATCGTAGGCCGCACTCATAATTTGCGGTTTCATTAAAATAATTACGCTGGATTCGACAGCGGCCGCGGGCTCTTGGCCGAAGAGACGCCGCCGAGCATCTCGCCTGCCATCTGTTCGGAAAAGCAAAATCGTCGTCAGCGACGTGATTGCCCAAGAAGAGCGCCGAGCGCACACAATGCACCCGAGGGGAGCCCAGCCGCCGCGATTTGACGCAAAATCAGATACGCTGCACCTCGATTTTTCATTTTTCATACAACAGCAACCATCAGGGCCAGATGTGCTAGGCAGAGACGCATCTGACTCCGCATAGCCTAAGGACAAGTAGTCTGAAATTTACCCAAGCTGAAAAAAGAGGGTCTTTTAAGTATAATCGATAATCGTGCATATTTAAGAAATTTAAAAAAAATTATTCTTTTATTTAAATCAAAGCCACAAAATATAAAATTTAATGACTATCTTTGTGCCTTTACCAGAAAGAAAGAACAATCGCTCCTTATTAAAAAGAATCCAAAGTTCTCCAATTAACAAAGCAAGGCACAAACAAACCCGACAGAAGAAAAAAGGTACATCATATTATTATTTCTCTTGCCGGTGTCTCTCTTTTGACCATTTCGTGCATCGTCTATAGCTTATAGCTCTTTTTCAGAAAAAAAAAAATAAATAAACTGGCACGGAAAGTCAGAGCCGACAGATCAAAAAATAAAAAGTTTAGTACTGTTTTTCAATCGAGGCCGCCTCGCAAGGAATTAATTATTTATGCGTCGGTTTTACTACTCGGGCTCTTGCAAGCCGTGCGCGTTATTAACGACACGTTATAACCATCGCCGTTTAATATGAAAATTATTGACCATAATTTCCATATTGCTATTATACCACTGTGAAGAGAGGTCTTCTTCGGCGCCACAGAAAAAAAGACTTCTACGATCGTCCCCTAGAATTGGTTGAAAAATTCTTCCTGTAAAACCAAACCATAATTTTTCTCAGAAATCAACAAGTCTTTATAAATTGGACATTGGATCATCTACCAAAATAATCTCCCAAGTTTGTATAATTTTCTTTGATGTTCATTAGTAGTGTTTAGTATTTCTGATATAATGTAAACGCTGATTTTCCTAGAATGCTGCAGAGTCATACTGTAATTATTTTGATCGTCAAAATGCTGGTTGTATTATTTGGAATCAAGACGAGTCATTCCGCCAGCACTTTTAAACGTTTATATCTAGTGCTTTCAAATAAAAACACTTTTCTCCTGACTCTGATTGGCGCCGATTTTGTGTCCGAACAGCTCCTTGACAAAGGTTTTTTCATCAACACAAAAGCTGCTTCACCTTACTCGTGGGCTGTCCAGTTCCTTTATTGGCTGCGTTTTGCTCCAAAATTGGTTTAGGAGCAGCAGCTTGAGAGCTGTAGGCTGAAGTTCTAGTTTTGAAATAGATGGAAGCAATCGCATTATTATCTATCCCGATTATTGTGACGGCGCGGTGTTACAAAAACGGTATGAATAATATATAGGACATGGAAAGACTCTGGAATGCGAATACATAATTATGAGTTGTAATACAAAAATTGAATAAAAATAATTTAATATATTTGTTTGGACTTTTTGTAAGAGATAAATAAATACTTAAGTAAAACAATATAAAAAGATTATAAATTATTATAAAATAGAAAATACACAAAAAACATGAAAAAAATAAAGTTATAATACAATTAAAAATATTATATTTAAATTATTTGAAATTCACTTTGTGTACCATGTACAGAATAGATTGTAAAATTTAAGCTTTTATAGAAAAAAAAAATAGAATGAAACATACATACATTATTATTATTTATAAAAACAATAATGTTATTGTTTATTTGTCCGCATTGTTACAAATAAATTTCTTACATTCAGTTGTTGAAAATAATTTAAAAAAAGGAATTGTTCAAAATGGCAAGAATTTTGCTAAAACTACCGAGATCAAAAGACCCCATCCGCCGCAGTGAACCGCGGCTACTTTTTTTATTAATGAAGTTTGAATGCCCTCATTTTTAGTGGAGAATACAATATTAAAAAAAAGTGAATTCGATCTGATGGACCTTTTTTTCTCAGGTTCAGTTTCTCTGCCCGCAACAGAGATGGAGAAGCCGTCAGCAGGGTGCCGCGGCGGCGCTGCTCTCGTCTCTCGCGCTCCTCCTGCTGCTCCTCCACCAGCCCGGCCCCGGCAGTCAGTCTGCTCCGAGCCGATAAAACCACTGCTCCCCGCCGCCGAGCATCAGAGTCGAGCGAGTCGTGTTTTGAGTCGGTCGCAGGGCTGGTGTGTGCGTCGTCGACGTATAACGTGCGTCGTCGGAAATTTGGAAAAAACTGTCGTGGGGACCTGAGACATGCCGTCGGTGCTAGTGTTGCTCGTGTGCCTTTCGGTAGTGACTGCTCGTGCGGCCGTCGTACCGCAGCGGCCAGAGCCGGAGGCCCAAGACGGCCATGGGGCGGAGGTCAGTTCGCCGCTTCGAGTGGCCCAATGCAGAGCGACTTGCCTACTGAAGGTTGGTATTAATTTATTTTTTTACTTTTTTATTTGTAAAGATGCCAAACATCTAAGAATTATGAAACGTAAATATTCATATTTTAACAGTTATTTACCCAATTGTTTACTTTTAAACTTTCGTCAACATTTGGTTGGAAAATAATTTAATCAAATATGATAAATTATTTCGTATCTAAAACAAACATTTTTTTTAGATTCTTTAATCATTTTTGTTTCTTACAAAAATTTTAATTTATTTTTTTCGTCTTACTATTTTAGTTGATTCAACTTGATAATTTTTGCATTCAGTTTAAGGCGATTTTTTTACCTGCTTGGACAGAAACCGATTCGGCGCAATTAATTTCATACAAGAGCAGTAAAGTTGTCAGCAAGAAATTTTAAGCGGCTCATTAGGGCGAGCAAAAAGGACCCTGCTACACGCCGTTTCTCTTACATTTATCCTTTTCGTCGTTGTGATTTATTCAACATTGTACTATACTCCCCAGCTAGAGGCATTTTATTTATTTATATTTTTTTTATCCCTGGCTCGTAGCGGCGTAGAGATTCGAGAAGCGAGATTTCGCACACACTACTGGCTTAATTTACGCCTTTTGCCCGCGCAAGAATGCCCGTTTGTTTGCGCACCCGACACCTGAAGTTTCCCCGTGTTTGAATGAAAAACGACAAGTATTCTGCTACAAACAAACAAAGCACCACGCCTTTCGCAAAATATTTAAAGATATATTTGTAGGCGGCCAGTTTTAATACATGTATAGTTGAAAATTTTGCATTTTCAGTGGTGGCTGAATTTTCCTTGTTTTAGCAAATTTTGCGTGGTTTGCCTGTCACGGCTATTTCGTTTGCTTAGCGTGCGCTAATGTTTGAGTTGTGCGAAAAATTATTCCGCCAGATTAATGTGTGGTAAACAGACCGAAGCCATGGTTGGCTCGAGCTTTTTGCTTTGAAGGTGATTTTTGGCGATGCTTTTCCTCTAAACTGGTGGATTAGTTGCACGAAACGTCGCCCAGTGCTTTTTAATAAAAACCATTTGATTTTGAAATTAATAAAAAAAGGCCGAAAAATAGAATTGTTGCACAAATCTTGCTATGATTGTTTGGTGAAAAGCCACTCCTCTCTGCTCTCGTGATGGCCTTTTATAATCGGTGCCCTTGAATCGGTTTCTGTTCTTTGCGGTTTGAAAACGGAGGTCCTGCTATATAGAGAGTGTAATCGAAAATCCATACGCATTGTTTTCGGAGCAGCAGGTAGAAAAGCAGCAATCACTCGAGGCAGCGGCACACGTGTGCGATAATAACATACAGAGAAGGGAAAAAACCAGATTAGACCTTTGGCGAAAAAACGCGAGTAAAACACCTCGCACCAAGGGTTTTTGTGTGTAATAATCGGTGCCGAAGGGGTGTTTCCTTTGCGACCCCTCGATAAAAGAGTTTTTTTTTTTAACATACCAGCAAGAACGGTTATCCGGAGCGCATATAATCTTCGTTGGGTCGCGGCCAGCGCGCGTTAAACGGAGCGTTTTGCTGCATTATCATAATTACACTGTGCTCAACGCGAGATGCAACTTTTCCATCTCGGAGAGAGACCGATTTTATTTTATGCCCATGATGCTGCGAGGCAGGTGCGGTGTATTACGAATAAAGAAGGAAAGGAAAATTATACTCGACAAAAGCTACCACGCGATGCAGCATTTTTGCCCGCGGCCTCTCTTTGTTTTGCGGCTGCTGCATTTTTTCTGTTTTTTCGTTTATGAATATAAAAGTTGCGTGCTTGTGCAACCGACGGCCTTGTCGCGGCTGATTGCGAGTAGGGAAAACTCGCCCAGCCTTATTTCTTTGATGTGCTGCTGGCGGAAAAATCCGAAATTTCATTAGATTCGGGGAGAGTGAAATTAATTTTTCAGAAATATGCCAGATCAAAGGAGGCCCTCTCTCTCGTTTATGGCACAGAAGATTTTTTCTGGCGGGAAAAGAAATCAAAGATCAACGAGTCTTTTTGGAGCTATAGAATTTCGACTTCTGAATGGATGAAATCAAACCGAAGGATCAGAGCGAAAGAATTATTCGGTGTGCATTAATCAACTGGCGTGCATTTCGGTGTTTGTGTGCCGATGAATGGCCGCTAACAGCTCTTCTCTCTGCATCTGAAATGTTTTGACAATGGGCCCTTTCACACCGCGGCAGTCTGCTCTTTTTTGAATAATCATCGGCCGGCGAATGATCCGCGCCGGCATGGCGAATAGACAACATTATTTTTCCATTAACTCGCCCTCCAGCAAGCGGCGTCAAAAGTTAGTCCATTGGCGGAGGGAAAAAATAAATAATAACAAATTCCACAGCACACCATTGTTTTCCTCCGCAACAAAAAGAGCGCGCGGCCATCATGTTTTTCGGGGAAAAAAGTTGTCGTGCGGTCATTTCCTGTGTTTGCAACGTCTTTTTATGCTCGGCGGCGACGAAATCGTCGGCGCGTCATTATCGGCTTCTGCTTCTTCTCTCTTTTTTCCTCAAGGGTTATTATTTTATTACTTCTCATAAGGTGGTGGAGAAAATTTAATAAATATCAGGCAAAAAGTCAGCTACATATTTGCAGGCCATCCAGATTGTAAATTTACGCTTTGGGAGGGAAACTCAATTTCGTTAATAGATTCCGTCTCGACCAACCATACGCGATCGGAGGAGAGATGCAATTACATTTCTTATGTGAGCGCCATCAATTTCGCGGCCTTCTTTTCATACGGAAGAGAAAAAGGCTCTGGCAAAAAAGTGCATGAAACACACACGAGAGAGAAAATGCTGCTGGACAAAGTTATCAAAACACATACAGAACGTCCGCGTGCACTCGCTGAGATGAAAAAGAAAATGGAAAAAAGAAAAGTTTCGTTACTGTTATTACTGCTTTTATTACTATTGGCGCGATGAGAGCCGGAATAGACACTCACAAACTGAACTCGAAAGAGAGAACGGTAACTTGTGTATATTCAGTGTATGCAATATTAAAATAATGCGCCTCAAAAGCTTCTTGAAACTTTTCTATTGTTTAAACATGAAATAAATAACTTATCTGTTTATGCTTATAAATTTTGCAACTTTAATTAACCTCTTGGAAACACCCTGTTAAGTTATTTTAGTTTAAGTTCTCTCTGCTGCAAAGCTATACTTTAAATTGATCGTTACAAGTGACCGTCGTTTTTTGTGGCTGATATGATGATGATGCTGTGCGTTCAACAAGAGGGAAAATTGAATTTTCCGCGGCGTTTATATAGAAGACCGTTCTTGCTGAATAATTTATATGAAAAGGCCGTTCTCTCTCCAGCAGCACTCACGCAGGTATTTATATAAAGAGTGAGCCCGGCTTTCGGGAATTGGCTTTTTAGCAACAACCCAACCAACCAACCCCGCGAGGACAAACTTTTCCGTTCGCTGCTGCTTTCTCTCTTTTCTCTTGTCTCCGCATAATACGAAAGAAAAGAAATAGGCAGCTATACAGACGGAAAGAGCGGAAAATTTGTATAATAGGCCAGCGGCACGACAGCGCCGTTTCCTTGGCAAAATGGAAAATGCTCGTGTCGCGCGCATGTTAACTCTTTCTTGCGTTCTTTTCCACGTTGACAATTTGGAGGGAGAAAAAGGGACTTAATATTTTCACCGCTGACAGCAGACAGAAATTCGTCGGTGTCAAGGGTTTCACACAATTTTTTTAAGAGCATAATAGAACATCCCACTTACAAATATAGAAGTGAATAAAATCTCCGCTTTCAGAGCGATTTGATTCTGATTAAATAAATTGAGAAACGTAATTTATTTTTCCCGTAATCTTTTGTGGTCGCAAGACTAGTTCCAAATGAAGCGGAGAGAATAAAAAAAAGTGAAGGACTGTCAGCATTATTTTGCACAAAAACGTCGATTTCTCGTCAGCGGGCAGACCGCAAGCGGCGATCAAGTTTTTAATCTCATTAAAATGAGATGCAGCGCGCACAGCAACACAACGCCGGCCAAAAGTGAAAGCATACAATTTGACGACGGCTCATTAGACGAGCGAGTCAGAACAAAATGTTTTTTTCCTCCAAACAGCTCGCGCATACACAAAACAGGGTGTGGCCCACGTTCTCTGCGCACAAAAACTCCAAGATCCGCGACCGCAGGTCTCATTATTATTATTTATACAATCGCGAATTTGCTCATCCCTATGACCTGCGATCAAATTTTATTACTTTTTAAAATGCTCGATATCATCTCTCTTTGGCATGGGGCGTCGGTCTGGCTCCGTTTTCGTTTCTCATTCTCGTGGTACGTCCTTTTCTCTTGAACCCGACCATATTTATTTGCACAAAGGGAAAATTACATCACCGTCCCGATCAAACCTTTTCTGAGCAGAAAATTGAGTTGTAAATGCAAAGGAGCTTTTTCAAAAGCAGGTCCGAGAGCTGCTTTTGTTCGGAGCGGCCGCTTTTGATACATTTTCCGTTGATCCCTCTCGTGCAACATAAAAAGCGATGGGAAAGACTATACGCTGGACCCTTTCCGCGTCTTTTTATTTCTTTCTCTCTCTTGAGCAGCCGGAAAGTTTTGCAGAGGAAAGATATTTTCTCCGCACGCCTCCTAAAACGGGGTGCTATTTCTGATTCCCCAACACGTTCACCCGTGCTATAGAGATATGAAATATGAAATGCTCGCCTTAAATGAGTTGGGAAAAATATCATTTCCGGCGGGCGAGAAATGAACTTTGTTCTGCCGTGGCATGTTATGGACGAGTGGTAGGAAACTGTCCAGAGTTGAAACTGTCCAGGGGTTGAAACCGTCCAAAAGATGGAGGATTTACAAAAAACACACCCTTATATGGGGAGGAGTGAATTGTGAGGGCATGACCAAGAAAAGTGAGAAATGGAATCGTATATAATATATTTTGAGAGGGACAAATAATCGATTGCAATGATGTAATTATTTGTATCTTTTAATGCTCTCAATATTGGACAGTTTCCACCATTGAGTTGAAACTCTC